CCCCCCCTTCTCTGTCTCTCACGCTCACACACAGAGTTCGAGGAACTGGCACAGTCATGCTTTTCTTTGTGGAGTTTTGTATACCAAACACGACAACACACACACAAACAAACACAACATGACACTACACAACATGGCCTTGCTAAGCTGTCCATGCTGGGGGATCAATGTGGTTAGAAGCAGAGGACCGTACCAGCGTTACTGCCATTGGGTATCGATGGCTGAGTGGGTGCGGAGAGTGGGTTTTATGGCTGTGACAGATTAATTTTGCAGAATTACTGCTGTTGTTTCTGCGGTTTGGACTGCCAGTCTGCCAGGGTTGCAGGGTTGGTCTGAGTAAAGTCTACCAATTTTCTCAGAGGTATCGCTTACTCTGGGTGACTTGGTGAGTCCTTGTCCATCAGTCAAATGCGTCCTGACGGACGTTCAGGGTTCATCCTCCCGACAAGTTGTTGAAAGTCCAATGAAGCACTCTGGAACAATCATCCTTTTTTTTGTGTACTTGTCCATAGCGAACTTGACAACACCAAGAACACAAACAACAAGCACACTGTGTCCGGATGTGTGTGTGTGTGTGTGTATTTGTGTGTGTGTGTGTGTGTGTGTGTGTGTGTGTGTGTGTGCGTGTCTTGTGTGCAACTTTTCTCATATGTCCAAAGTGTGCATTTAAGTTTCAAAGTTCAAACCATTGTTACGGCACGGTATGGCTCTACCTCTCGTTGTCAAGATGTGCTTGCTGAGGTTTGCCGATGGGTTTGGGTGACAGCGAAGAACTGTTCTTGTCTGCATTTGTGTTAAGTATGCATTGGATGGTGGTGTGCGGTCTACATTAGAGGAAGCAGACTGTGTTTCGAAAGAGGAGTTGGACCTCCCGAATAGGTTTGTTTTTTTAATGTAAACCACTGCTTTGTTCCCTACCTTCTTTCCCCAAATGCAACGTACGGTCATTGTCGCTGTATTTGGGGTTTCTTTCAGTCCAGGCCTCGGGAGTTGCCCGTCGTTGTACTCTACGAGTGGGGAGATCAGATGGCTTGTGACAGCCCCAAGGGCAGTCTGCTGCTGGTGGCATCATTCATGAGCCTTTTTCTTTGTCGTAATCAGATTGCAAGTCCAGGAAATCACATGTTTTCATTGGATGTTGAAAAGTTAGGAGGGGGTAATTTACTAATGATCCTGTCAAAATTTTTGCTTCCTTCTCCTTCGACAATTGGCTAAATATACCCGGCCTACCTCAGACATATGTCATCAATGCTAGGGCAACCTTGGCAGATCGAGCAGATCAGTGTGGATGGTGTAAAGCTGGGAGAAGAGTTCAACGGTGAAGGTAGAGCTATTTGCTTTGCGTATTTGCCTAGGGAGGAAGAACAATGGTTGAGTTCTTGCGGCGAGATATTGCTTCCGTGTTCTTGTCAGATAGACCTAAATGGACTTATTTGGAGTTTACTTAAATGACCTGTTTGGTGTTTATGGAACTAAATGACTTGTTTGGGGTTTATGGACCTTTGTTTGCCCTGTTGTCCTCTTTTGCCAGATACGAATTGAAACGGATCCAACTGACCGGACTCAATTGAGATTGACGGTTGCATCCCAAGATGGGGCGGCTACATCTGCGTAAGCTCCTTTTTCCTATTTTTTTTTCTTTTTTTTTCTTTTCTTAAAGCGGGTAGCCCCTGACCTTTTTGTATCCTTCTCTGATACCATCATGATCCGAACGCACGGCTCGGTTTTGGCTCGGTTTTTATCAGGTTTTCTTTGTTTCTTAAACTTTCTTTTCTTTTCTTTTCTTTTCTTTTTTTCGGTTTTTGATTTTTTTCGGTCGCAAAATCAACAACTTCAAGTACATACAATAAGTCTTCATCAGTATCGTGTGTGTATCGTCTGTGCAAAGGTGCGAACTGTTTTATTTCCTCCTTTTCGAATTTGGAACAGGTGACAACTTGACTTCCGTAGGTGGTGGTGTTTTATAGTTGTGTGATGTGCACATCACTACTGACCGGTTAATTTTTTTTTGTCCATGTATTCCGGGTGCCCGGGTACACGCCCGGGTGCCCGGCTGGGCATGACCCCCGGGCAAGGTTCCGGCCAGCGCCAGAGCGAAAAGAAAAAAAAAATCCGGTCCCAAAAAAAAAAAAAAATGTTGTGTAGAATTGCAATACAAACGACTTTTGGCTGACAGTCACATCAGAATCGGAGAGAAAAAGAAAGGAAAATAACAGAATCACCCTACCATGCCCACCTTTGAATCCCTCTAGCCCCTTTAAAAGTTAAAACTTAAAACCACTTTATACCCCCGTTCCCCCCCCCCCCCCCCCCTTGACAGGCAACTCTCAAAAATAGAAATGAGCCCAGATTTTAGGTCACCATAGGGAGAGCGCAGAAAACAGGGAAAAAAAAGAAAAATGGCAGGCCCTGGTTGACCGGCCGGGTGTGACAGTCTTCGTAGGCCGCTATACTGTCTTTTGCAACTGGTGGTCCAAAGAGATCCTGTCCAATTTCGTAATTTTAGGGGCACACTATCTTTAATCGACCATTGCCGCTTAAACCACTAGTACTTTTCACGTCCGGTTTCGACAAGTCCTGTTGTTGTACAGGCAATGGGCATGGACAACAAGAGTTTGACAAGACTCGACAAGATCCAGACAGTATACACGACCAGACAAGACAGGTGTCCCCGAATGCGACTTGAAAATTATAAAGATAAACATGAAGCACAGATTAGCGGAACGACCCGACCGGTTTCGCCTAGCCGCTACTAGGGTCATCAGGGGTCTTAACAAATCGGTCTGACGGACACTCTGACCGCTAGGACATATATACTACGAAAAAGTACTGTGTTGCCTAAGTGAAGTAAGCGTCCGACTAACTCGAAATCGGTACTCATCTGTAGCCACGTCAAAAAAGTGAAAGGCCCAAACCCAAAAACAGGGGCCGATACATGCAAAAAAAGAAAAGGCCCAAGTACCTGAAACCCACAACAAGTCCCTCTATCAACGAGGGAAAAACCCGACCTATCTCAATTGGGGAATCCACAGATCGAAACCCTCCCAACTCATCTGAAAAAGCATCCCCAGCACCTCATTCTACCCATCATATACCCCCAATCCTCTTACAGACCGAATTCTCTAGGCCAACGAAACCAAAAAGAAACAGCAGTCTTTACCCCACAGCTCATCCCACATTCGTCTGATCATCAGGAGGCCGAGTAATTTCAAACCAATCAAGTCCTGGCCAGTACCCGAACTTTCAGGAGGCCGAGCCCAACGTTGATCGATCTGATCGACGGCCGTCGCTTCTTTCGGCCTCCTGAAAGTTCGGGTACTGGCCAGGTAAGAGAAGTAGTGGTTTAACCGGTTGTGCTGAACATGTCCTTTGCCAGACCCTGCTTGTTGTCGAACTACGGGCAGGGGTAGCAAAAGCCCGATGTTATGTCTCAGGATGCAATGGCAGTTGCGATCTTAAAACACCAGTACCTCTGCCAGTGTTGGGGAATTATGTCAAAACCCCCGGTCCCGAAGAATTTGGGGGTGCGATCCAGGGTCGGCAAGTCCCATAAATCTTAGTTTTATATTGCCCGTGCTGGAATAGAAAAGAAAAAAAAAGAAAATGCTTTCTCTAGAATCTCTATTCCAATGATGTTGGGCAGGGTAGTCTAGGAGGCTGTGCTCAAAGTACTCCACAGAATGCACCTTACAGGTAAGACGGTCACCTTCTGAATGTTACTGTTTTCTTTTTTTTTTCTTTGTCACGTGTTTTTTTTTTTCTTAAGAGTCCCCTGCCAACGAGGCAGGGCGGAATCCGTGTGATCTGCTCAGCCATTTTCACGGCCAGATCCGTGTGCCCGTTTTTCTTTTTCCTTCTATTCCCTTTTTCGAATCTCAGAACCTGGCCACGGGGCTGAGATGCCTTCACCTAGGGACACACTCACACCCACTTCCAAGGACGTTAACAACTGCTGCACAGATCCTCAGAGACTTTACGTGGAGCTACTACTAATTAATAATATAAAAGAAAGACCGATGACTTGTGGGTATACGTACAATAGATACCTTTGTTTGTATGTAGTGTCGTATTATTATAGTGAAGCTGGGCAAGAGCCGTGGCCTTCGGCCTACACAGAGGGGCGTATGAAACAAACTCAATTTATAGTTAGAAGACACCAAAGCTTTTGTTTCCTTTTTTTTTTCGGTTTTCTTCTTTTGTGAGTTTCTGGAATCTGACAACCTGGGCACGGTTTTCTTCCTAGAACGTACGCAACTGCTATCTCGGCCAAAGCTTTTGTTTCCTGTTTTTTTTTTTCTTTCTTCTTTTGTGAGATTCACGGTTGCAACTTTTCTCCTTTTTTTTTTTTGTTCTTTCCGTTTTCTTCTTTTTTTTTTGTCCTTGATGTTTTCTTCTTTTTTTTTGTTTTTGTTCTTCCATGAGAGTACCAGAAAGAAAATGGAGTGGATCCAGCGGCCTAACTCAGTTGGTAAGGCACGCAAGTGGCATTCAGGAGGTCGTGGGTTCAAACCCCATTGGCCTCATGTACCTCCCTGGGCATGCTCGGCGCCCGCCACCTAGAGATAGACCACTGGATCCCCCGATCGGCATTGAGCAGAGTCTACTGATGTTCGTAGGGGAGGAGACCACCACCTGAGGGGAGGCACAGGGATTGGTCCTGTTGGCATGGTTCCTGATGCTACCGGCTGTCCCCTAGCCGGTATCACCCACCTGCAGGTCGGGAACAGCCCCCGCGTGTTCTCTCGTGAACACGGTTCTGGCTGCGACGGGGTTCCCCGTATGCCTACAATTAGTAGTAGTGGTAGGTAGGTAGTGTGAGCTGAAATTGAGAGAAGAACATAGCTTCAAAAAAAAAATAAAAAAAATGGAGTGGGACCCAGGCTTGGCAAAACTTGGAGCGCAGTGAAATTCACGGTTGGCAAAAACAGGCTGGGACGTACTAGTGGTTTAAAGCACCAGTACATGCTCTCTCTTGGTTGCGGGCCCCTTTCGGAGGTCGTCCACCAGGCGCCAAAGTATCGTTGTTTCCTTATGGTCAGATGACCGGAAGGGTTGTGTACCCCGCCGTCATTGACAGGAAATGCCAGTCGGAAATTAGAGCTTGCGGGATTTCCAAAATGGGGGTGTGATGGCCATTCTGCATGGAGAGTTGGCCGGTAGTCAGATTCTGGCGATTGTGAAGTGCGTGTTGGATTTCAGAAGAAGGATGTAGATGGTAAGCAATTGCAGGGCCGAGAATGGCAAAGTGGAACTTTGGCATTGTGAAGTTCAATTTCAGCAGTGTTTTCTGGACAAAGTTGATTTTCAAAATTCCGTTCTGATTTCGATGTGATATGCCGGTCTTTACGTACTGAGACTTGGATTTGTTTAATGTCCCTCTCTCTCTACTCGTAATGAACTCTCAGCTCATTTGGGCACCATGTGAAGTGTCAATTTAGTTATATTGACAATTTGGCTCAGTGACTAGCTGCATATTAAGTATTCTTATGGTGTTGGATGATGCACATCGTGTGTGTGTGTGTGTGTATGTTTATGAGCGCGTGTTTGTATGTCGATGTGTGCATGTGCGTGCGCGTGTGTGTGTGTGTGTGTGTGTGTGTGTGNATGTGCGTGCGCGTGTGTGTGTGTGTGTGTGTGTGTGTGTGTGTGTGTGTGTGTGTATGTGTGTTTGTGCAGGATGAGGGAATATATCGTGAGTAACATAGTGGACAAGGCACGAGAGCCCACGGTTGGACCTTCTGCAGCAGAAGCAGCAGCTGCAGCTCCTCAGTCTGCTGCTGGCACAAATGATATTCTAGCTGAGCTTGCAGGGCTTGTAATGTAGAACCGCATACTACAATGACTCCAGTCGATGAAAGCTCGTTGTCGTGGCTGAGTCGACCTTCCACACCACCTTCGCAGTGTGCTGCCACTCCGAGCGATGTTCTTGCCAACCTAACCTTGGCGTATATTGGCAGGATCATAGCGTTGTCGTCATCCTATGGCCTCCGAAGCTGCCCAGTCCTATGGACCGAGACTCCAATGGCATTCGAAGCTTCACGGCTTCCAAGATCAGAGATGACGCTGCAGCAAGGGCAGCTAATGGCACACGGGGTGTCTGTCGATGTCATCTACAGTTGAATCCGCACATGATTATGTCGCGACTCGTCTGACGGTAATTCCGAATGTTTGCGGATTGCTTGCTGGCACCATGCAGAAGCAATTCACCAGGCATGATGTGTTGTTTTTTTTTCTTGTTTTTTTTTTTGTATGTGCTGGAAGTTGTCCTATAGCGGCATCCATGTGCAGGCAAGGTGTATCCAAGGCAGCACAGGACGACTTGCAAGGAAGTTGTATCCGTTGAGCGGCAATGGCGACTGAACGGACTGTCCTGGGCAGGTGCAAGCTAGTAAAAAGGCGTCGCTCACGATGCGGATGACGACAGTGGGAGGAGCTGGCGTGGTTAGCGGACCGGTTGCAGGCAACACGGGGAGTTTTGGGAGGTTGCACTGGTGCTGGTATTCTACGATAATCGGGGTGAGAACCGTGTATTTGCGAGTTGCGATTGCGAGTGGTTGGTTAAGGTATTGTTTGGACTTTGAAGTATGGCTTAAGAATTTGAATGGTAGTAGTGGAAGGCGGCCGGCGCCCAGGAAATGTAGATGTTGAGGCTTCCGTTGTATTAGATTTTGAGCACCTGACATCTGCAGTATCTATGGTTGTCAGCGGCATGTCGATCTCTTCGAATGCACGTTCGTTGTTGGCGTCCGTCTGAGACCGTGCAGAGAATAAATGGCGAAGTTTCGATAGCACCCTTGCAGTGGTGGATATGACCCGCTCGCTAGGCGGTAAATTGTTTTCTGTTTTTTTTTTTTCTTTTTCCGTCGAGATCATGTTAGAAATGAGTGGCATTTCGTTTCCATTGCTGTTCAATTTCCGGTTGATTTGCAGATTAAAGTGCAATTGAAAAGAAGTCTTAAGGAATGGTGAAAGGAAATGATGGAGAAGCCATCTGGTCCGCCCAGAGCAGTTGGTATGTTGCCCAAGTGATTCTTGCCAAATTGCAAATGAAGATCTGTTATCTCTCTTGGATAACCCTCCGAGTGTCTGATATGGTTGTTTCCCTTCGCAATGTCTCTACTACGGTTTCCTGTCCTCGACTTTCTGGTTACCTTTCTTTGGTTGATAACGTTTATGTAGACGCAATTGTTGGAGATGATATCCAGAGTAATCGTTCTATTCCTATGTTTAATCGTACGGTTTGATCAGGCTTCAATTCTCTGCTATTTCTGGAGAAGAGTCTCGTTTCGATAGGTCCAGAGAGGTAGGGATGGAGGAAGAGGTAGGGGTGGAGGTGTGTGTGGAGAGAGAGAGAGAGAGAGAGAGAGAGAGAGAGAGAGGGCAAATACCTATGTACTGGAGCATTACCCAGCATATTGGTCCTTGT